CCAAGGGAGGGTTTCTATGCACAGAAGCTAAAGTCAAACCTATTACACATCACGTGAAATCCAATCCTAGTTCCTGTTCTAAATTGTTACTCCTATTCCTGTTGTTGTCGGTAATTTCATTTTTCCACTCTTCTTTCTCACGAAAGAAACCAGGGTGGTGGATCAGAAAGAATAATCCAAACAATTAGATGAAACATTCAGCAACACAACCACCTGATAAAAACATTTTTAATCTTTTTTTTTTTAATGACTTTAAGCCAGTGAGGCATGATATGATGAATGCTATCTCTGGCAAAGGTGGAGAGGGTTTATAAAGTCTTTTTTTTTTTTTAAAGAACAAAGATTGCTTATTAGAGCCTAAATGCACATTTCACTGAGAAATGGTAGAAAATTGTGTGCCTCCTGTAATATCTAGTCCTGCAGTTTGGAGTTTCAATTCTTTGTAGAAACTGTCAGCAGATTTTTTAAATGTGCGTGAGCTGTTGACAGCTTCTTCTTTCATATGGAAATAGAAGACTGATTGAGCATCAAATCTGCCAATGTCTATTCCTACTCTTGGGATTTTATCTGAATCTCGCTTTCAACCGGTTCCAGAGAAGATGCTCTAATCTTCAGACCAGTTACTTCAGGGTCTCCAAATTGGACCTAGTGATAAGCAGACCCCCTTCAATCTTCCACAGTCTGGAAGTTAACTGGAATCCAGGTGGTTGAGGGCTGTCCAGCTTTTACTCAAGACCAGTCAATAATGTGAACCAAAGTTCTTCAGGTTCACGTTTTGGGGAGTCACTGCAGCAAAGCAGTGGGAAGATAATTCCTTTGAATCTCATTCCTGCCAGGAATTCAACAGGGGCCCTTGGATAAGTAAATCTGCCCATGACTGTTGGGCATGTGGACATCCGACGGTATGTGAACAAGTTTGCAGGTGTAACTTTCATTTATGCATCTAAGAAAACCATAGTTCCCCATGTCAAAATATGGGGAAATCATGTTTTTTTCCCCTCATGGTGGTTATTAAAAACAAACCAGGGTCACACCATGATTTCTGGTCTTATCATAGCTTAGAGATAGGGTAATTTATAGAGTTTGCATATATAAAGAACTGTAATTTATTTAAAACCAAAAGAAAATAATTTTGATTTCCTTTCTTGAAAACTGAAGCATAGGTTAGAGTAGTAATTTTTCATTTCACCTCTCCTCCTCAAAACCAGAGCATTCTCCACAATTCTCCGAAGCACAGACATTTGAAAACTCTTTATGACTATTATTATTATGTTTATCGATGATCTCTTTTCATGACCTGTTATACTGTTCTTTTAAAAAATAGAAAAACAATCTTCATTTAAATCTTTTGTCTTAATCCCTCTAGTGTGTTGATTCATCTTTGTTTTATGGCTTTCCTAAATTTTCTTGTATTTTATCAGGTTGGCCTTGTTTGTCAAACGTTTATCTCTTTCAGTTTTTTAGTTGCTTCCCCGTGTTGCTTTTTTGTGATGTTGTAGATGTTGTATTGCACCAATGTCTTACTTTATACGACTCCTAAAGAATCTGTAATAAAGATTCTGTAAAGATTCATTAAGAAAGAGAGTAGAAAATTCTCACCCAAAGGGTGGTTTGCACCCAAGGAGAGTCAAGAGTATGATATTACATACATCCTTCTTCTTTTTTTCCTTTTTAAAGTGAAAAAGTTAGGAAGCACTTTTAAGAACAAGCTCACCACCATTCTGTGTGACAAAGTAGTTGGCGTATTTCATCTGAAACCCCACAAGCAAAACAGGAGGAAAATTGCCCTTTCAAAAGCTGTATTTTAGAAACTGGAACAAGGCGCCACTGGGATTATTGTCCTCTGTGACTCTGGCCGGTTCCTTTTGAAACCCATCTCAGCTGCACCTCTTGTAATGGCCTGTGGGAATGACCTTGGGAGACAGGAGGAAGAGCCGCAGACTGGACAACCGGTGTGTAAAAGATGTCTCAACCCACAGAAGGAGAGGAGGCATGGGAAGCGTTTCAGAAGGGACCCTCCCTAGTTTTCCGGAGAGTAGAAGGAAAGGAAGGGAGAAATACTTTCAGCCCTGCAAGATTCTGTTAATGTAATCTTACAATAAAGATAGAGTTAGGATTCCTGGCTGTGCTTCTTGTGTGGACTACCTTGCAGGACTAACACCTCTGTGGGCAACCAGGTCTGTGGTTTAATTCTGATGGGCTACTTGGATTTCAGGGATGCTGGGATCTTCTCAAATCCCCACTCAAAACCAGGGCCATCAATTGGCTTCCTCGAGGCTTTAGAGGCATTCGGATTTTGAAAAGCACACAGGACCCCCACCCCCTAATGGACTCCATGCCAATTCAACTACATCAAGCGAGGCCTTCCTGCCCGTTTTGGTAGCATTTCTGCCACCGGGGCCCTGGATCCCACCATCATGCAGAATGCAACAGTCCAAAAGACTTTCCTCTCCCTTCAGGCTTGTCCTTCCATCCTCCCCGCCCCCTGCCCCCAAGCCCCCCAGCACTTGCCACCTTCCATAGATGTCAGAATAGCTGGTCCAATTTGTCCTGAGTGCCAAAACCCAGAATCAAAGCCCTCAGTCCTCCTTCCTGCCTACCTGCCTTGTTAGAGACTCCAGTTAATGGGCAAGTCGAATAGATATTCTTCGTGCTAGGTCAGCGTAGAAGACAGGAGGCAGCCTGTGAAGGAATGAACAGGAGAGCCAGCCACAAATCAGAAACACTTGCTTGTCAACACTGTGGTCATTAAGCTTTTTGCCCAAGATGCAGCCCTATTAGAGACCATCAAATGTCAGTTTGCTAGAACTCTCTCTCTCTCTCTCTCTCTCTCTCTCTCTCTCTCTCCCTCTCTCTCTCTCTCTCTCTC